CTGGGTCTCATTTTTGGGGTTTTGAGGGGTCCTGGGTCCCATTTTTGGGGTTCTGAGGGGTCCTGGGTCTCATTTTTGGGGTTCTGAGGGGTCCTGGGTCCCATTTTTGGGGTTCTGAGGGGGCTCTGGGTCCGGTTTTCCCCCCTCCAGGTCGGGGCAGTTTTTGGTCAGCGGTGACACCGACGGTTTTGTCACCGCGTGGGACACGCTGGCCCCGCCCGGGCCCGGGGACCCCCCCGAGCTGCCCCCCCTGCTCCGGTTCCGCGCCCTCCGCGACTGCGTCAACGGCACCAGGTAACGCCAGGGACCCCCCAACAACACCTGGGGCACCCCAACAACACCTGGGGCACCCCAGAGAACACCTGGGATAGCCCAGAAACACCCGAGATCACCCTAAAGACACCTGGGAGCCCCCAAGAAACACCTGGGGCACCCCAAAAAACACCTGGGGCACCCCAAAAACACCTGGGGCAGCCCAAAAATACCTGGGACACCCCAAAAACACCTGAGAACACCCTAAAAAACACCTGGGATATCCCAAAAAACACCTGGGATACCCCAAAAAACACCCGAGATCACCCTAAAAACACCTAGGATACCCCAAAAACACCTGGGACACCCCAAAAAACACCTGGAGCACCCCAAAAACACCTGAGAACACCCTGAAAAACACCTGGGATACCCCAAAAAACACCTGGAGCACACCAAAAATATCTGGGAGCCCGTAAAATACACCTGGGGCATCCCAAAAAACACCTGGAATATCCCAGAAATACCCGAGATCACCCTAAAAACACCTGGGAGTCCCTAAAAAACACCTGGGAGCCCTCAAAAAATCCCAAATTCCCCCCCAAATCCCAAATTTCCCACCCCAAATCCCGAAATTTCACCCCAAATCCCAAATTTCCCACCCCAAATCCCGAAATTTCACCCCAAATCCCAAATTTCCCACCCCAAATCCCAAATTTTCCCGCCCCAAATCCCAAATTTCCCTCCCCAAATCCCAAATTTCCCTCCCCAAATCCCAAATTTTCCCCCCCAAATCCCAAATTTCCCTCCCCAAATCCCGAATTTTCACCCCAAATCCCGAATTTTTACCCCAAATCCCGAATTTCCCCCCCAAATCCCGAATTTCCCTCCCCAAATCCCGAATTTTCCCCCCAAATCCCGAATTCCCGCAGCCTGCACCCCGGGCTGCCGCTGCTGGCCACGGCCTCGGGGCAGCGCCTGTTCCCGGCGCCGTGGGACAGCGACGGTGACAGCGACGGTGACAGCGACGGTGACAACCGGCCGGCCCCGGGGGGGGACATCCGGCTGCAGCTCTGGTGGTGGGGACCCCGCGGGGACACCGGGACCGGCGATTGTCACCTCGCCGGGGACACCGATTGTCACCTCGCCGGGGACACTGGGACCGGCGATTGTCACCTCCCTGGGGACAGCGGGACTGGTGATTGTCACCTCCCTGGGGACACTGGGACTGGTGATTGTCACCTCACCGGGGACACCGGGAATGGCGATTGTCACTTTCCCGGGGACACCGACTGTCACCTCCCTGGGGACACCGGGACCGGCGATTGTCACCTCCCCAAGGACACTGATTGTCACCTCCCCGGGGACACCCGGGAATGGCAATTGTCACCTCCCCGGGGACACCGATTGTCACCTCCTTGGTGACACCAGGACCGGCGATTGTCACCTTGCTGGGGACACCGACTGTCACCTCCCCGGGGACACCCGGGACCGGCGATTGTCACCCCCTCGGGGACACCGGGACTGGCTCAGACCCCGCCTGGGGACACCGACTGTCACCTCCCTGAGGACACCGAGTGTCACCCCCTTGGGGACACCGGGACTGGCGACTGTCACCACCCCCCGGGACATCGAGTGTCACCCCTGGGGACCCCAAATGTCACCCTGGGGGTGTCACACCCCCCCTGGGGACCCCAAATGTCACCCCCACTCTGGTTGTGCTAAAGGCGTTGTGACTGTCACCCTCTGTCCCCCATGATGGGGGCGTGGCCAGAGCCGCCCCTCCCCCACCCCCCAAAAAGCCTTCCCCTCCCCCCTCGGTGGTCCCCACCCTCCAATTTTGGTGCTGCCCCTTTAAGAACCCCCCCCCACAAAGCTTCACCGTCACCATGGCAACGGTTGGGGGGATGACGTCACCATTGGGGAGTGCCGGCCACGCCCCCACCCCAAGGCCACGCCCACCCGAGCGGTGACACCCACCCAGCCTTCAGCTCAGTGGGTGTGGCCATGCCCCTTTATGCTAATTAACCCACCACCTAATCCAGGCCACGCCCCATTCTTAAAGCCACGCTTTTAATTACAAACCACGCCCCTTTATGCTAATTAACCACCTAATCCAGGCCACACCCCGTTCTTAAAGCCACGCTTTTAATTACAAACCACGCCCCTTTATGCTAATTAACCACCTAATCCAGGCCACACCCCGTTCTTAAAGCCACGCTTTTAATTACAAACCACGCCCCTTTATGCTAATTAACCACCTAATCCAGGCCACACCCCGTTCTTAAAGCCACGCTTTTAATTACAAACCACGCCCCTTTATGCTAATTAACCACCTAATCCAGGCCACACCCCGTTCTTAAAGCCACGCTTTTAATTACAAACCACGCCCCTTTATGCTAATTAACCCTCACTACTCCAGGCCACGCCCCGTTTTTAAAGCTGCGCTTTTAATTACAAACCACGCCCCCGTCCCCGAGCGTGACCACGCCCCTCTCTGCTGTCAGGCCACGCCCCCGACCAAAGCCACGCCCCCTGTCCCCGGCCACGCCCCCCCGCAGGCGGCGCGGTCGCAGCCGGGGCGGCCCCGGAGGGACCCGGGTTCGAGTCCGGGCTGGGGCGGGGGGGGGTCCGGGCGGGGGTCGCGGTTTTGGGGGGTGGTCGCGGTGCCCGGGGGGGGTCTCGGGGGGCCATGGGGGGGGTCCCGGCCCTGCTGCTGCTGCTGTTGGTGGTCGCGGCCGTGCTGGGGGCCGCGGGGCTGAGCCTGGAGCCGGTGGTCTGGCACACCGGGAACCGGCGGTGAGC